GGTAATCGCTCCCGTGGGCACTGTCACTCCTCTGCTGCGCCGAGTGCCCCTCGCTGTGGCGGTGTTGACACAGAACCAGCTCTGTCAGCTTCCTGTGTTGTCCACCTGTTTGATACCACATTTACGGTCAAAAAGTGCTACGAACTGTGGTGCACCAGTCGCAAAGCAGGCTTAGTGCACAATTTATGGGAAATCACTTCCGATCTGGGCGCTCTCTCCTCCGCGTCTGCCTGTGATTTCATATCACGAGGTGTTTCCTTCAGCCTGGTGGAGAGGCTCTGCCCGCGGCTGCCCCACAGGTCAGGACGCCCTTCTCTTCCCAGGTGCCCGCTGATCTGTGTCCTGGGCGGGGCTAGTCAGGAGGGTGTGAGCATGTGTGTGTGCATGTGCGTGTGTGTGAGCGTGTGTGTGTGCGTGCGTGTGCGTGTGTGTGAGTGTGCGTGCGTGTGCGTGTGAGTGTGCACGCGTGTGTGTGTCTGAGGCGTGTGTGTCTGTCCTAAGGCGTTCTTGGTTTAACTGGGCAGAAGATGGAGGTAAGTTAGACGTGTGTAAACATAAGGAGAAACCGAGCGTATTAACATAGACAGATGTAAGCCTTTGTACAAAGTCGCTGTTTTGTTTCATGTGAATGAGCTTCAGGACTCGTGCAGTGCAGTGCCTGGCACACAGAACTAAGAATGCCTGCTATTGTTATTCTTTTTATTATTATTTACTAGTTTCCAGTAACACTGTCTGTTTGAGGAATATTGCAGTCGAGGTTCCCACTATTTGGGCTGATCACCTTTAGACCTTGAGAACCTGTTCTGCTTGGATTAGGGAGGCTTGGGTGCGAAAGCGGATATTTCCTTCCAAGTCACCCTCATGGGCGGGTGTGAACAATGACAGGGTGTGGGCGGGAGCCACACCAGGGAATCGCCCAAGGTAGTAGTCCCTGCCCCGTGCATGCTTGACTCATCTCCAGCCTCCCTGACATGTGGCTGAGGGGTGGAGGGAAGATCGTTCCTGTGCTCAGGTCTGGCTCTAACCTGTGGCACTGCGGAGTCATGCAGGCAGCAGGTCCACTTGTGGATCGCGTGTCCAGGACAACTGCCCGTGCCGACCAGTGAGCAGCACTGTCTGCTAAGGAAAGCGTGTCCATCCTTTCCACGGACACCATTGACAGATCTGTGATCACGCGAGCCCGTCAGACCCACCAGGAGGCAGAGCACCACCCAGGCTGCCGAATCTCTCCTCTTTGCCCCTCTCCACTTTTGTCAACCCTCCTGGCCCTGCAGTGACCTGCCCCTTACTCTGTCCAGTTTTCTGTGCCTCATCAGTCATGCCTTTCAACCCTCCATGCAGGAGATGACTCGCTGCTCACCCACTGTCCTCTCCTCTTTACTCCAGTGTCGTCCTGTGACCAAGAGCACCAGTCTGCCCTCGAGGAAGCCAAGCAGCCCAAGAATGACAACGTGGTGATCCCTGAGTGTGCTCACGGTGGCCTCTACAAGCCGGTGCAGTGCCACCCCTCCACAGGCTACTGCTGGTGTGTCCTGGTGGACACAGGACGCCCGATCCCTGGCACATCCACCAGGTAAAGCACTTGCATGGTACAGGCCAGGGGAAGTTTGGAGCACGAGAGTTGGGAAGTCCCCACCCCCCATACATACCCACAGTTTCCACGAGTACCTCCCGACCTAGACGGCGTAAGCCACGTTCTCAGATCTCTGTGCATGGTTGCCTGTAAAAACTAGTGGCTTTGGCCATCAGAATCTAGAGAATACCCTGTCTGTGATGGTCAGCAGACAGTGACCGTGAGCGACAGCAGAGAGCAGTAAAAACTGACATTCTTAGGTAATGTTCACACCTCATTCTTCATGCGTGATGGAAATTTGAAACACAGCTCCGGCAGCGTGGCGGGGACGTGGCATTTATCAAGTATAAATGGGGCTTCCTTTTGCTCCTGGTTTTGGCAAAGGAAGCAAAACATTTAATAAACCGCAGAACCGATCGCCCCAAATGGCTTCTGTAGCAGCCAACAGTGGGGTGTGCTGAAGGCAAGACAGAAGATTTATTCCAGGGTCTGAGACATGAAAACAGCTTATTAGCTGATGTTTTGTGTGAGTCAGAGCAAAACAAATAATTTCATGATAGCACCTGAAGGATGGGAGCTGTTTGTCTGTTGAAAGAGTGTAGACATGAGTGGGGATGTTTTGCACCTTTTTAAAATATGAATTTGCCTTTGATTTTTCCTAGATTTACATAAAAATAGTTTACACATATATGAAAATAGTGTCTCTCAAATGTTATTAAATTTAGCCCCTGATTTTGCTCTAGTGCCTAGGCATGAATATCTTGATGCTTCCTAGATTTTTCCCCAACTTTTTCAAGTATAACTACTGGGCATTTAGAGGGGGAAACACGCCCATGTAGATTCCAGGGGCTCAGAGCACAGGTAACCAACTAATATCTCTTTCACCAAGGTCAAGCTCAACCCATCCACTGTCTGCCTATTTAATAAAATGAGTCTCCTTGGGAGCCCTGCTTTGGGAATGGTAATAA